ATATAATACATAACATAATATATTTCGTAGCACGTGAACTGTGTAGTGGTCACCGCGCAGGCGATTATGCACGTAGATTTAAATTTTTTATCAAACAATTTGAATAATAATAATAATATTATAAAAAAAGTTTTGACAAATCCACCACGCGACTAACCGGTTTAGCTGTGTTTAACGATTTTTGCACACGTTCGTTCTCAAACTCCGAACAGATTTAAATACCTATACGTATACCTTCGTGTTAAAAAAAAGTAAAACAGTTAAAACCGTTACGCACTGCACGTCGCCGTTGCACACAAACKCAGCTGAAGCGTGTAGTTATATATTAATATATTATTTTATTTTCCTTCAGATTCAAACCGAGAAAACAAGCTCGTGCCGTGGGGCTTGTAATCAATGTAATCATTGCCGAACGTAACTGCAGTACAGGCAGTACATAAATATACACGAACAAACTGAAATAATTAACAAAACCAGAACCATTTAAAACCGAAATACCGCGCGTGATGTATTAAAATCATAATCATGAATATTTATTTATTCCCACTTTTATGCCTAAGTCCAAACAAATTATATATATATATATATATATAAAATAAATAAATATAATATCCTGTATATTATATTAATATTAACATACTAAGTGGCATCTGAATTTTTTTTTTTCGTAGCAAAATATTTCCGCTTTGAAACTTTGAAAGTCTTGTTGGAATATGCCGATGGAATATTATTAATTTATTATGATAATTACTAAATATAGTGGTAAAAATATGCATTTCGACCGTGCATGTATTTTTTGCAATATCTATTACCTAGGTATGGATAATGCAATCAATATTCTAATATCATGCAAAATGGAATTGAAATAAATATCTATAAATGATACCTATAATATTATCTCTATAAAAATGATAATTATATTATGTTTTTATCGAGTTGTAATAACTTTTTTTCAAATGGTAAATTAATAAAATATGTAATCTGAAAAATATTGGGTAACGCCAAACTCTAGAGTCTAGATAAACAAAGTTGAACAAAACCACAACCCTATGAAAAAAATCTTCTATACAACCTCAACATCACCCACCGCCTTTACAATCCGATTTTACACGTTCAATACGTTCATTGTTATGAGCAGCTGAAGAGGTATCGGYGTCTCACATGGTCATACGCATATGTCGAATCTGTCTTACAAGTACATTCCATGGAAATTTATGTTCAAGGTTCAACAGTTCTCATTTAGTTTTGTTTATTTTAATATTTAAGTGAATTACTTAATATAATATTTAACTCAAATGTTACAATATTCAATGTTTTTTTTTCGATTTTTAAATAATTGTCAAGAAAATTATAAGTGTATAAAACATTAYAATTTAAAAACTAAAATAAACTACAGAAASTATTGTTATATAGGTACATACTTTTTCAAGTTTAAAAATAGGCAACTTCTCTCCATTGTTACGTAGGTAWAGGTAAAAACAACTGTACGAAATCGATATGCTTCACAATATACTTACTGACATGATGATGCAGATGAACTACGGAGCAGTGTATCTAATAATAGTATGCAGAATAGGTCCGGCACAGTGTAAATATAATATTATATTCACGTACGTGACATCAAAACGAAAAGATTTGAACGATCAGTCATACCTATTAAAGCATTGTTTCGGGCGTTCTTCTGGGAAACAAGTTCCGATGTCTCCCACTTGGCGCTACCCGATTATGGTCACTCGGAGTCGGTTACCAGTTASGTCCGTCCAACGAATGTGACMACGATATAATATGATATTAATACCATGCAGTAGTGTAATACTGAAGTATGCTATATTATTGTAATTTTCAAGACATCAGTGGGACTTGGCTACCTAATGTACAAGTGGCCAGACGATATTCCATTTACACTGGTCGATTTTTTGCTAGGCTATAGTTTTTCACTAAAGATTTGTCCGTCTCCATTGCCTGGTATTATGTATCACAATTCATATACAGCAAACACCTGTACGATTTAAGACTTTTTAGTTTAACACGTTTGTATATTGTATGACGTACAGCCAGGTATAAGATCTTTGTATACCTATACGTATTTTCGTGTCGTATGTTTTATTGCAGCTCTTGTCTCTCGCGAAGTCGCGATGTTTATCGTTTCAACGTTTCACTCTTTATGTCATTCGAGTTTCTTTTGACATTCTATAATATTGTGAAGAGTAGTTTTGCGTACTCACGATTATATTATAATATGGCAACGTACAAGTGCGTGTTCATACTGTTTATAGCCCTGCAACTATCGTTCTTGTGTCTGAATCATGTAACCTTTTCCTATAGCTCTTAATTTTACGGACAGCGTGGTGTTTTATTTCTCATCGTTAAACATATTATTCATAACACTGTACCATATATTTTATCATGGTTATGTAAAAAAACTTTAATTTGCAATTAAGTTGGTTATCAAAAAAAATGTAATCAACAATTGCAATTGAATCATAGCAATTTGCAGATTATAATATTGGTCATTATAATATTGTATATTGACTATAAAACATATATGAATATTGTCATTAAATATTTAAAAGATTATTCAACGCTTATTTTGATAAGTCTATGTATCATGTTAGGTATGTATCGTGATAATAATATCTTACCAAGAAATACTGTTTCTGAGAAAAGCGTGTGTTTCTGACAATTTTATGTTATCTCAATAAAACTATTCCGTCGTGCATAAAATTGCAGCAGTTTGTTGACTTTGGAGACGAAGAATTTATTGAAGATTATAATAAGTACAACGGTCGACACTGCAGTATAAAATAACAAGAAAAACATATTTCATAATTAATATAGTATACCATTATGTCTATACCTATGCATACATAACGTATACAATAAAAAATTATGACAGCTAATAGCCTTAGTCGCCGGGCTTAGGTTAGGTTAGGTTAGTAATTCKATTTATAAATTATTATTTCTTATTGTTTATTCAAAATAATATATAATTCCGGCAAACTGGAATTCCGCGCGCACTAAACTACACGAAATTAAACAAGATTTTTTTCATGGCCTCATCCCACACACACACCTTCCTAGAAAATTTGAAGTTATACTAACAAGACTACGGATCGGCCACACCAAGATCACTCACAGTTATTTAATGAGTAAAAACGATCCCCCGATATGCACAACTTGCGGCACGTACCTATCAGTCAAACACATTATTACTGAATGTCTATCTTATACCGATTCAAGATTGGAATCAAATCTTCCTGAACACCTGGCAGAATCACTTGGCCACAAAAACTCTTCACTCGCAGTCACCTTCAACTTTATTTCATTGGCAGAACTTCAAAACAAAATTAAAAAAAAAAAAAAATGTACACTTATTCAAATGTAAATTCTGTAAATTAAAGATGTAAATAATGTAATTTCATTGTTCCCAATGGCCGATGTCGCCGAGGRCTTATTCTTAATTTAAAAAAATAWATATAATTYCAMTCGAAAAACACTAAACAATCAAGTTTTTTCACCAAGTAGAGATAGTCACATAGTTCATAAGTCATATCTGAGGAGTGTCAACAATATTTGTCTTATTATAATATAGGTAAATGGTAAATTATCATAACACATTTTGTTCAGAATATTTTCATTACGTGTTTATAATATCCTAACTTCTTAAGTAAAAACAGACATACGTACAAAATCAATGATCTGCTCGACTATTTTGTACTACAATAATTATTATTATGTATCATGTTGGTATACCATGGTTTAAATCAAATATCAATGTATTCATATACCAAAATATAAACGGATAATTTATTATTYCTATAAAAAATACTTGTTTTATGATTTCAAATGTTTAAGAAAATTACATTTCTTTGAGTCTATTAATTAATAATAATATGATATAGCTATAGCTCGTGATAAAAATTCACTCAAAACTAATTACGTTAAATATTTCYATTGTGATATGTTCACAGTAAAAGGCATGACAACGACAGTTTCGACCATAGAGTAATATACTCTATGGTTTCGACTTACATAAATAAAAACAATAACAATTACATTTGGTGAAATTATTGTTTCAAATACGAGTAAATGTGAAAAAATTAGCATGTGCGTAGTGTACTCGATTTATTAATTTGAAAGTGCACTTTACTGCAATAACAATTAATGGAATCATATTGGATGAAGTTTTATTAGTTATACATACTATCCGACTGACACTCATATAATACATTTCATTTTAACTATTGTACATAAATATTAATTGAAAAAATACTTTATAGCAATATGATTGTCATTCACTAAAACTATACAAGTATCTATAAAAATCAAAAAGTGTGTGATACATGTATGTGCGTGTCTATGTAAGAATTTCAAATTTCAATTACAATCGCATCAATATTGTATGTATTCAGACGTTGATCGCGTCACGACGATGGTTGAGAATTTGAGATGTMATTTTAAAATTTAACCCCTTTTGCTGTAGCACTAAAATATGGAAAACCATTTGGGTGAATAGAACACTTCGATAAAATGACATTCCACACAGCGTTGCGGAATGTCACTTTACGTAGTTGCAATGAATCTTTCACACATAAAACACAATAAAATTGAGACATTTTCGGAGACTTGAATAATATGTTTAATGTATATACTGAAACAATTTTTTCTAGCTTTCACTTTTCATGCAAGACGTGTGTGATTTTTTTGTACTTCTGTACAGRGATTTGAACAAAGTATTTCAAACGGTGTTTACTAACGTTATCTTTTTTCTCATATAACATCCATTTTATTGGTATAAATATATAGTGCAGGYATTGTGCGKTATTTTTTTCTCTAAGTATAATTAACTATAGTATAAGCTGTCGTTGTCGGGGCAACGAGATTAAAATCATTTCCAACGTGTCCCGCAATGCATCGGTACAAATACATACATATATAGGTGCTTGAATACTCTATTGGTATAACAATAATATATATTATTATTAGTAGTAGTAGTATACCTGTTCTTCGGGTGTTGGGACGGCGGCGAGGAATGCAACGAGGACAGGTTCTCCGGGTGTTGACTCGAGTACAGGACGATTCTCTTATCGTGAACCTGCATGCAGGAATTATCTCAGAGTATACGAAATTATAGGAATTCTTCTTTTTTWAAATTATTTTTAGTACATACTATTTTACATTTTCTGATGACTAAGTTTTTCTCCTAAAAATTTAAAAATTACACTTTTCCTGTGATATTATCCGTTTTACGATACGAGAGAATCCCCCTGTATATTGTGTAGGTATATACATTAATTTTATGAGCAGGGATGTCGGTGGTGTCAGGTTTCACATTTTTGTTATTATAAATCATATGCAGTAGATATTACGGACAACGGTTACTAATGCGATTCCATAGGTATTCATAGGAGGAAGACTAATTGAAATTTTAGATTAATAACATTTTTYCTATTAGGTAGATGAGCGGTATGGCTTGGTGCGTGTTTCTYGAAGTATGTAAGAAAYATTTTTAATGAAAACGCTTTTCACAGGACTGCACTGTGGTACATCTACTGCAGATGAAACACGAATAATTAGCTATGTATTTATATCCTATTGATGATTTACGTGTCTAATGTATAATTAGACTTTTTTTCTCTCTAATAGTGTACTTATTCAAAATCTGAATTTCGGGATTTTCAAATATACTTATTAATAATCATGTTTTAAATTCTTGAGATTTTTGTATTACAAAGCTGATATAAACTAACATTTTTCAAATGAGAATTACCCTTTCTACTGTAAATAATTTAGTGAAATATCATAAACGTTKATGTATCATACTTAAAATTCGTACGAGTAGTTTTTGAGTAATTTAACTTTGATTACTAACGATAACAGGTCCATGTTTGTTGCTGATACGTTTGAAAATATTTGGATTACCTATTACGATGATTTGAAAATGTTTATGATTAACATTAATCCATTTTCAAGAATAATTTGTAAAAATGAATCAGTAGTCAAATATAATTAGATCCAATATTACATGTATTTTATATTTTTAAAAAACCACTGTTGAGGACTATTATCCTTTAACATAGATTTTAATAACTTGTTCGAATTTAAAAATTATGCATTACAGCAAAATTTTCAAAAAGTTATCCAATAAATAATTTACAATAAAATAGGGATTTGGAAAACAGAAGTTTGTATCGCCACAAAAAAACTTCTTAAGTAGTAGTATTTGTACGAAATAATTCAAGAATTTAAAAATGTAGTATTTGAGCATATTTGATAATTCAATTAATCAGAATTTGATTGAACTACGCTTGGTGAATCATTTTGTATATATTTTTCGTAGTGTACTAGTGATCAAATTTCAKAAAATCCAGTAATTAAAATATCAGACCTTCAAGAAGTGTTCATTTTTGTTACAACACTAATAAAAATGTACAGAATCTGAAAATATATCGAAATCTCTAATTTAATGGTATCTAAATTGTATGGTATGATACATATTATACTTATGATACTAATTTTAATATAATAGGTATTAGAGTATAGTACCCAAGTACTTATAGACAATTATTTTGAATATTTTAGAAATATTTATAATWTCATCAAGAAGCTCTGTAATATTATACTATTTTGAAAACATTTCACAGCACGCCTTATATTAGATTTTTAATGAACGTATGTTAATCCACTCATAATTTTTATGGCATATGACATAGGTGCAAATGTTATGGGAACCGGAAAGTGTTTCAGTAGGTAGTATTAGTATAAATATATGAATCATCGCATAGTAAACATCTCATAGGACATATTATTATCATTATTTCCGATAAATCGCATACACTACACTTTAGAATAGAATGCACGAAGGTTGCAGCGTATTATTTGTTGTTTCGTTTGCGCGTAGCCCCATGGCGACAATATTGCGGCGGTTTATGAGTCACGCGCAACTCTGGCGATGAAAGACGTCTGCGTCAGTTAATATAATATTATTGTTTTTAACAKTATTTTTTTATTATTTTTTACAATATAGTATTATTTTAATATATATATGCACCGCTGTCTATGAAGACGAAAACGACAACATCATTAATCAATAATAAAGCAATTTAGCAATAATAATATCATAATAAATTATAGTCCACCTCAAACTTGTGTAAGTCTCATCCTTGAATCATTCGTCGAGTATAATATGTATATCCATCATCTATGTRCTCTAAGTCTGCACTTAATGATAATACCTAATGTGTATTCAATAACACTTATTTAATTCAATGTTTACACTAAAATATTGTAAGGTGGCTTTTATAACATCGATAATAGTTTTTTTTAGGAATAATATCTCAAGACTCAATTGATAGCATAGGGGTGGATGCGAAGAAAATTTAATAATATAAGCCTAAATAAATATCATGTATTTATACTACTCAAACAAGAGTATTAATACACATGATATTATTTTCTAAAATTGAGTAACATGCCAGTTTCATGAAGTCTTACAGTTATACCTAATATAATAAATTATAGTCAAATAATAAAATCATATTTTATGTTTAAACATGTTCAATACGTCCTGAATTACCATGAATGAAGTTTCATTTCACAATTTATTGCTGTGTGTGTTGGTCAATATTTAGCTAACTCATGTATATTTATATATTAAATTAGAATATTCGACCATATCGTACACAGTGTATTGTTATTTCACCAAGTTTAGAAATACTCGTAATTATAATATTTATTTACAGACTAATGAAACGATTTAGTGTCATTATTATTTTTTGTTGTACATTTAAGTTCTCTATAGATGGAAAATTTGCCGTAAAAAACAATTATAGGTTTTTAAATTTCCCTATGCTTAAATATTATTTAATTATCTGATAACGGTTTTTTTATAAACTTAAAAGATAACCTATTGCCAGTAGAAAAAAAATGTTTAATTAAAAAAAATAAATATTTTCATGTCATCAACATAAATAATTTAAATATGGTTTAAAATCAGCTTAGAAAAGCAAATTACTATATTTTTGTCCATAAATAATAAATATAGTATGTATATATAATATATATTATATAATATGTACTAAATTAATATTATCTATTAATATTAGGTTACAGAAAATAATAATATTAATTCGATAACTGGATTACGAATAGAGAAGAATTCAAGAATGTTCCTTTAATTCTGTTATCAATTTTACAAAGAATACATGATAATTTATAAATAATGAAAAATAGGCAATARTGCTACTCTGYATGTTTCCTAATAATGAATGGGCAATCGAATGTCTATAGGAAACCGGTTTTTATTTATAATTTATAATGTTTTACCTTATACGAATAGTAAGTTCACRGACGATGAATCCATAAGATATTTCAAAGAAAAAGAAAAAGAAAAAGTTAAAACTGAATTTATTTATTTTATTTTAAATTAATTTAAGAACACCGAAAATAATTTATTAGTATACTGACAATATTGTGATAAGTTCATAGATGCACGCATCTTGCCTACTATGCAGAAATATATTGATGCAACTAACACGCAAAATTGAATTAGTTTTTCTTTAAATTTATTTTCGTTATTAATTATATTTAAATAAATTAAATAAAACTAAATAATCAAATATTTATATTAAAGCAATTAAATTATAAAAATAACGATWGTTTAAAACAAAAAAATATGTAGATATGACATTGTTACAAGAATTTAATCCAATGATTGTTTGATTAAATTWWATTAACAACATTGTAGGTAACTGTCTAGTATAATAATATTATTAATCTGTAGAATACAACAATTATAATTTTAATCAATCAGGTACCTACATATTTTCAAATAGTAAATTTAAATATATTATTTTAAGTTTAAGGTGACTAGTAAAATKAAATACAATTATATTTACAGTAAAAATATAAAAGCATAAATATTATATTATCCGTAAGAGAGTTGGAACATTTTCTTACAATTCTAGAAAGTCAGTAGTCACTTTATTTAAAGTAGTTAGATACAATTAATTCACTCAATTGAGAAAACAAAAAAAYATTTTTTTAAATTATCAAATTAATTTTAATCAATTAAAAATAACACACATCATCAATTAACTTTAAATTACCTAAGGGAATAAATTATCAACGAGGGTTATAATCGACTTTTCACGGCTTATCCGTCTAATTTATACCAACTTATTATTCCTGGGTATTGACTATGTTTAATATATATTTTTTTTTATGAAGAACCATTAAGGTTGTAAATTGTAATTCTCAGTGAATATTATGTATYTAAAATAGTTAAGTATATTACTAATTAGATGTAGCAAATATAATTATCGAGTATCGTAAAAATATTTTGTGATTTAAAAATAAATAAAACCAACAATGAATTATTACCCATAATATATAATTMAAAAAAACCAAGTACATTATAATGTTGATTGCTATCAACATAACATTAATAATCTATTTTTAGACAATTTGATTGGTTATGCATAATTGTGAACACTAAATATTAATACATTATAATCAAGTTTTTTCAAATCGATGTCAAGATAAATTAGCTTAAAATTTTGTGATATAATACATTTTATAACTAGTGGATGATTCATTTAGAAATATTTAARCTTCGAGTAAACAATAAAATGAATATCAGTAGCAGGGTAGGTTAGTACAGATTACAGAAATTTTATCTGTTTACGAAAAGACTATACTTGTATGTATAAACTACATAATATAGTTTGGTAAATTTATTGGAGTTAATTATTACTCTATTATTATTTACTACTATATTAATGCATATTTATTAACCTATTTTTACTAAAATATTTTAGTAACGGTAAAAAAATGTGTTAGAGGGTGATTAATGATTATATAGGATGAATATTTTTATTTTTTTAATAGTTTATTAAGGCTTCAACAACACAGGTTTTTAGCCTACCATTAAGGATGAATATTATAATTTATAAGTTATTTTATTTACAGTTTTTTTTTCCACTAAAAACCTTGAATTAATATTTGTTCATGCTGTTATTTTAATGACAAATTTAAATTTTATGGCTTATTTTATAGATTGCTATAATCATTAAATTAATAAAA